GCTGCAATCTTTGGCTATGTCTTGGGCTACTCAAATATTTTACGTTTTTGATACTAAATTAACTTCTAAAGTATAATTTTTTATTGTTTTTATATTTTTCAATATATTTATTTTGTTCGTACAAAATAAAAAAATAATTTTTAACAATACAATAGTCTTCGTTAGGCTTAACATCAACGAAAATTCAACGCGAAGCGACACGCAATGGAGAAAAATGTCAAGATGGGATAAATTAATATATTTTTTCGTACATAATCGGTTATCCGAAACATCGATCTTCCGAACAACCCCAGTCCCCAATTGATTCGGATAATCGACGCTCTACTGTATTATTGTTGCCCAAAACTCCTTTACTTATTCCAATTTGGCCCATAGAAACAAAAAGGTTGGACACCCCTGATCTAGGCAAAACTCCATTTACATGTCCTTGGTGTAGGAATGTGTGATTTGTAGGAGTTGATGAATAAAGTTTTATGTCGTCCATGTACATGAGATGTGACAGCATAAACTATGTTGTTTTTTCATGTCTGATATTATAGCCATATTGAGTGTTGTTTAACATGTTGGATAATGTGTTCAAGGCTAGGCAGAACCAGAGAGGACTCAAGGAATCTCCTTGAAAAATTCCTTGCCTAATAAATATTTGGTTTGTTTGTATGGAAGTGTTACTAACCCTGAGATGTAGTGTTGTTCTCCAGTGCTGCATAGTGTTTTGGAAGAATGCAATGAATGATGGATGTATTTTGTACATGTGTAGAATATGTAGCAGCCAACTGTGTGGAACACTGTTGAATGCTTTTCTGTAGTCTATATATGCCATGATGTATGTTTCTGTGTTGTTTGTGTGCTTGCCGTAGAATGACTGAATCTATGAGTAACTGTTCTTTGCATCCCCTGTGATTTCTATGGCAACCTTTTTGTTCTGTAAGAATGTCATGTTCTTCAACATGTTTGTATATTTTGTTTGTGATACAGGATGTCAATAATTTGTAGAGTGTTGGAAGACATGTAATTGGTCTGTATTGTATGGGATCTGTGGTTTTGTTGTTTTTAGGTTTCATGTAGGTGATGCCCTGAGTAAGAAATTTTTGGCATGTCTTGTGGGTTGATGATGATGTGTGTTAGATGTTTAGCTAGTTCCTGTTGTGTGTTCTGTTAACAGCGTAGCGGATGTTGTATATGTTTATTTCAGCCTGCATCATCATTGTGTGTGACAGCACTGGACCAAAGAGAAGACCAATAAGTTGTGAGTTCTTCTTCTGTTGGTATGCCATTGTGCTATATATCAGTGTTTGTTTTGTTATCAATTTATCTGTAAAAGAGTTTTTCATTGTTTGTAAATAATTTATTTTGTTGTTTTTGTAGTGTACATGTTTTGTATTGTTTGAGTCTACATGCTTTGGCTGCGAGTTTCTGTTTTAGTGTATGAATGTATTCTGTAATGTGTGTGTTGTGATGTTCATGTTTTGTGTATGTTTTGATTTTCTTGAAAATTAATTCTTTTGAAGACAAAGTCCTTTCCAAAAAAAATATAGGAACCACCATTTTTTAACTTTGTGTTCCAGACATTACACTTTTG